TCTCTTCAACCACTCACTAAGCCAACCACCTCGAGTAACTCCCTACAGTTTCCTGAGCCTTAGTCTTCTCATTGGTGAGGATGACAATGCCTGACTTACGTACTCAGAAGGAAAGTTAAAGGTGATAGCGTGTGCGGAAGGCCTGTGAAAAGCAAACTCAATGTCCTACTGTTTATACTTAAAACTTCCCCCTGGTGATAATGCCATGTCCATGTGTCATTCCACCAGAGTGCAAGGCTGGAAGAGGTAACCATCTGCTCATCTCCTCACTCACACATTGGTTTACCAAACATTGATTGCAGATCTACGATGGCACTTTGCTCATGGGGATACGAGATGAATGAGGTCATTGCACTTTCCAGGAGCTCGCAGTCTGGTAGACAAACATGGATATACAACGTGATGGGAGCCGTCCTGCAGGTGCACGTAGGATGTGAGAACACACGGAAGGGACTCACCAGTTCTGCCTGGGGGAGTGGGAAGTAGTGTTAAACTGGTTCTTGAAACCAAATGAGTGGAACAGGGAGAAAACTTTAGGGACTTCGGGGCAGAAAAAATCACCCAAATGAGGCATGTGAGGAATGAACACGTGTGGTGTGTTCAGAAGATGATCAAAAGAGAAAAGTGACTCATTAGTGTGGCTGGATGAGGGGGCAGCAGAGAGAGAGAGGAGGGTCTGGAAAAGGAGGCTGATAATACAATCAAATGTATTCTGTACCAAGTTGGGGGAAAGCCGTAAGATTTTAGAGAGGAGATCATCCAAAGGTACCATGCGATTGTTTTATAATCTTGATTATTAGTTAAAGTAAGATGAGGCTGCTATATCTGAGACCTCAAAACACGGTGCTTATATACGACCCAGGCTGGAGAGGCAGCTCTGCTCCACGTGGTCATTCAGGGACCCCAGATTCTCTCCAGAACACTGTTCTCCTGTCTCCCAGGGCATTGTCCTGGTCTTTGTAATTGAAGTTGGGTCTCTAATATGGCTTCATTGCAGCCTTTGGAAAGGCTACAAGTTTGTAACAAATGGCTTTTAAGCAAGTGATATGGAAGTTGGACTCGACAATTCGTATTCTATTGAGAAGATCTTAATCACATGTCATGCCTATCTGCAAGGAAGGCTGGAAAATACAGGCTCTCAACTGTTAATCTGTGCGTCCAAGAATAGAGAGAGAACAGATTTGGGGGACAATAGTCTGCCACAACTTGCTTATTTGGGAGCCTTATCAATTCCTGGATTTAAATTTGCTTCTAGTATTTATCATTTATATTGCTACGTCGGTCCTCTAACTGCCAGTGTTGATTACTTAGTCTAAAAAGTGCTTTGGATGATCTAGGATTTACCCAGGCAAATCAAGAAGATGTGGAATATATCTGTGTTCAATGTTCAACTTAGTTCACAAATTAAAACTTTATTATTAGAAAAATATTGGAGTTTTGAATTATGTTCCTAATACTGTAAGACTCTGTGTTCTAGTCTCCATACCAATGCCCTACAAGAGGATTAAGTTTATATTGGGGTCAACAAAGCAGAATTCCTGGAAGAGCCTACTATTTACAAGGCATAAAGCCAGCCTACGTGGAAACACGAGGCTCTCAATGGGGTTGGTCACCCAGAGTCACCCTATTTGCAGTGAGGCTGATTTTCCGAAGCATGGTGGGGCTGAGGTTGCTGGAATACAAATTCACCCAGTGGAAAGAGACAACATAGAGTAAACACTGGATCCATGTGAGCTATTGTTATTGTCACTGGTATTATTTTTAAATTATTTAAAGTTGGATTTAAGGATATAGAAGTGGCAATTTGTAGGTAAGGAGAGCCTCTTGCACTAATAGTAGGTCTTCCCATGCACCTTGTGGGTCTTGGGACTTGAGGAGAGTCTGGAACAACTTCACTCTTCCACTGTCCCTGTTGATCAGAGTCCCTGAAAACTAATGTCAGTGGGGTCTGCCTTGCCTCCTCGCCTCTCCCCCACCATCCTCTCCTCTGTCCTTCTCTCTTGCTCATCCATTCCTGCTGTGCTAAGTGAGGACTTCTTTCTCTCACCTCTTCCTAACTGGTTTCTTTGCCTCCATCGCTAGAATGATCTTTCTAATTTGCAAATCTTACTTCTACATCTTTTGCTTAAATACCTTTGATGTCTCCCCAATCCCTCAAGGGGAAGTTTAAAGGGCTCACGAGGCTGTCTGCCATTTTGCCTCAGCTTGCCTCTCTAACTTCATCTCCAGTTACTGTGATACAGGCTGGAGCGAGCCCATTTTCTGGCCCATTGCATATCCTGGCATCACTGTGCTTTCCTGGACAGGAATGCCCTGCCCTCCCTCGTCCATCTGATAAACGCATACTTCTGGCCCAACACAAATGTCATTTTCTCTTTTAGAGCCTTCCATGACTCTCTCTCTGCACATCCAGGCAAAACCGGTCATCCTACCATCTGTATTCCTATTGCCCCTCATGTCCACCTAAGCTGGACAGAGCACTCACCACATTACATTATTAATCTTTGTGTCTTGTCTTCCCTGTTGGACTGAGCTTCTTGGAGGCAGGGATCCTGTCTTATTCTCTGTATCCCCAGCTCTTAGAACATTCAATCTGCCTAGGACATGGTACATACTAAACAGAGTAGATTATTGTTATAGCTACCGTATATTGAGCACACATAATGTACTAGGTAATTTACGTATGTTATCTGAATATCTCCCATTTTCCAGATGAGGAGTTGAAAGCTTACAGAGGTTAAATAATTTGCCTGCAGTCACATAGTAGGACCAACATTAATACCTAAGTTGGACTCCAAAGCCTACACTACATCGTTGTTGACTAGATGGACATCTAAAAGGTCACTGTGGAAATGGTGCTAACCTCCCACGTTAAGCTGAGTCAATGCACACAAAACCCACTATTACCCCCTACTGACCAGGCCTGGCTGGCTTAGCACTGGGGCTATTCAGACCGGGGCATCTAGGAGAACTCGTGTGCATTTCAAAGGCTCTTAGCTCTTGGCAAAACAGTCACCATTCTCAGAATGGCTTCACGTCCTCTTGTACAGGTGCTATGAACCATCTCAAGCTCACAGAGCCTCGCATCAGCTGAACTAGGCCTAGAACTTCTTGGTTACTTGAAAGTCTTTTTTCTTCTTACTGAATCCACTACATCCCATCTAGTGTATTTCTAGGGTGAAAGTAGTATGCCAAGTAGAAATGGATGCTCAGTGGAGCAGGCCAGGATTAAATGCCACAGACTTTCTAGAGCAAGACAACGCCTGAATCTGTAAGAGGCAGGCCAGAACAGGAAAGCCTGTCTGACACCAAGGGCAGCCACAGCACCGCATCTGTCAGCAATGCCACATCAGTTACTGGTGGTGAAGTGCAAGCCTAAAGCCAAAAATGTAGTTCAGAATAAAACAGGAGGTTTCCCTAAGCTCTAATTTAACTGTGCAAGGTCCTGTTATTAATTAATTAGGTACCACCACCAAGGAAAGTTAAGAAAATCAGACAACTGCCAGGTGGCTTCCTATTCCTCCTGACTTCTGATTGGATCATTTTTATCAAGTGAGCTAAGCACACATTTTCCTGTAACTCAGTTATTCAGCAAAACGTCCTAAGCTACTTAACCGACGCAAAGCAAACACATTAAAAAAAAAAAAAACGCACTAGCCTGGTTGTGATGCTTTCCATTTAAAGGGACAGACTCCCTCTCTTTAGAGTTGTCGCCGCCCCCGCCCCCCTCCAATGGCTAGTTTGTTGCTTAAAACAAACGCATAAAAGGTTGACATTGAAATACCCGGATCACATGGTCTTAAAGAATTTGGGCTAACGAAATAAGATGAATCAGTGAGATGAAGGACTTAATGTTCCAATAATTATCTTAAAAAAACAAAAGCCTTTTTAAATGTCAAAACTCTTACAGCTCCTCTCTTGGGGGGAGGGGAGGGGTGCGTTAAACTTTGTGGAACCCAGCCTTTGTCAGGACATTGACAAATTCGATGTTTGGCAATTAAATTAGAATTTCCCTGCATCTCCTGCTTTAAAGGAACAGCTTTATTCTTGAGGGAGCCCGCCTCACCCTTCTATGTTCAGTCATCTGCAGAGCAGAACCAATTCCTTGCCGTTCCGAACCCAGAGCAGCAGCTTTATTTCACTGCAAGTTCTCGGTGACATTCTGCACTCTCTTGATTTAATGCCCCAGGGAGGATCTTTAACTCTTGGTCTAACCAGTGCAGATAAAGGTTAAATCTCTCACTAACCATCATGAACCAGCCTAATAACTCACGAGAGGCTATGAAAAGCAGGTGTGCAGACTCGATTAAAACGCGCAAAACACCCGCACGACGCAGGCAAAGGCGCTCCGCCCTCACATCGCCCAGCGCCGCTGCGAGGCCCGGGGACGTCTGCGCCGGGAGCCGGACCCCGCGGCCACCGCGCGCCGGGCCTGCTGACCCC